GAGCAGGGTCACTTTAGACACATCGCTTCTCCTCTCTGAGCGTCACGTTCTTCACCTGCCAAAATGGGGACAGTATTAGCTTTTCTGTTCAGGGCTGCTGGGAGTTTAGGATGGGGAAAGTGGCTTGGCACATAGGAGGCCTTTGAGAAATGTGAATTGAAATAAATGGAGGGAACCGATTTAGAGCAGCAACATCAAATGTTTGAGCATCTGTTGAATGACTCCTGTGCACACGGCCCTGTTCGAGCTGGTTTCCAGGAAGCCAAAGGGGTGTCTCATTCATCCCATGCCTTGCGGAGCTCACAGTCTTTTTGGGGAGACAGTTCGGAGGCTCCAGATGACAAGGAAGAGTTCAGCTCGCTGAGGCCAGGGTCCAGGGGGGCATGGAGTGTGGGGCTCCAGGTGCTCAAGGGAGGGCCTTATCCCTGGGAGGTTGTCATTGGACCGGCTTGAAGACTCTGGAATCAGAGAATAGGCACATCATTCCAGGGTGGGGGATGCTTCCCTGGGTTCTAGGGGATTCCGTGCTTGGAGAGTCAGTGGGCAAGAGAGGTACCTGTGAGGGTGTGTGCCGGATCCAGACTGTGGGCTAGAATCCAGCCCCAACTTCTATTAACTTATTTTTTAATCCTCACCACAGGATATGCTTTAAAGAGAGAAGAAGGGAGGGAGAAAGAGAGGGAGAGAAACATCGATGCGAGAGAAACATCAATCAGTTGCCCCTTGTATGTGCCCTGACCCCCCGACCAGGACTGAACCTGCAACCTAGGCCCTGTGCCTTGACGGGGAATCGAACCCACACCATTTTGATTTATGGGACAAGGCTCCAACCCACTGAGCCACACTGGCCAGGGTCAGCTCCAACTTTTACAAGCAAGTTTGCTGCTCTGCAAAATGGAGGCAGTAACACTATCCACCTCACAGGGGGTATGATGCAAACTAAAGGGGTCAGTGTAGGTGAAGTGCCTAGGGGAAGCACTTTCTGAGTGTTGGCTGCAATGATTTTTTCTCACGCTCTTGGCCAGAGGCAGGCACGGACCAAGGATGGGCTGGGTGAAACTGTTGTTTGAACGTTTATCTTTGTCATCCGCTTGACCTAGCCCCCGGCCACGGCCCGGAAAAGGCCTGTGGGCTGCTGTTGGTGGGGATGCGCAGGGGATGAGCAGGGGAGGCTGAGCAACGGGCACCCAGACACACCCCGGCTCCCCCGCCGGAACCAGAAGCCTTGCGTGCTGCAGTGGCACTCAGGCCCCAAGGGCTTTTTGGGGCCTTTATGGGGTAATTCCATCTCCATTAGGGCTTATTATGTCACTATAAATACCATCGTTCTGTGCCGCTTTATAAGACTCACTGAAGAACTTTCCTTCCCAGCATTCAGTCACCCAGAGCGGGAAAGACTCATAGTTGGAAAAGGAAGAGAAGGGAGAGTGTGTCACCAGGTGAGTGACTAAAGACAAAGGAGCTGCCCCACCTCCTACCCTCCCTCCACCTCACACACCACCCCTTCTCCCGGGTCTTTGCTCACATTGCATGTCATAGATGAGCAATAACCAAGTATGTGCTGTCAGCCCCTAGCTGGGCGCATGCCCCCAGGCACACAGCTCATGCAGTCAGCAGGGCCTGTCTGCACTCTGGGCACATGGGTTCAACCCTGAGGAGCCATGCGCGGAAACCCACGCCTGCCACACACAGCAGCAACCAACACAGAACGCGCCAACACTGTCATTCACTCGTTAGTTCATTCATTTGGCAAAGGTTTGCCAAACACCTGCTATGTGTCAGGCACTGTCTGTTTTGTACAGACAGGCTCCCTGCCTTCTTGGAGTGTATCTTCTAGTGACATGTCCAACATACAGAGCCTGCAAATGACATGTAACACACAGGTACAGCCAGTCTTACCTACAACACACATGAAGTCTTGCACTCAGCACAGTGTCCACAGCCTCGAGGTCCAACGCAACATGCAAAAGACTTACCCACACCATGTACTACACACACACACATGCATACACACTCATGTGCCACTGAGGTGCCCTGTGCACACCACATGTCCTCTCGCCACAGAGGCTACTTCCTCTGGCGGTACCATGTGTAACTGTAACAGCAGCTGAGGTTTAACAAGCACATTCTGTAGTCATGGCCCATGTGGTTTACATGCATGACCTTATTTGATCTCAGAAGTAGGTTTATACATCTTCCAGATGGGCAACCTGAGACTCTAAGAAGTGAAATGTTCAAAAACTAGAGGCCGACTCCTTAGTTTACGTTCTTGACCACTGCCAACTATGGCCCTCCCACTCACAGACAAATCCCCCCCCCCCCGTCCACAAGCGCTCACACACCCATACACACATACCCCGACACGTTCACATGCACTCGCTCTCACAGACACTTGCACACTCACTCTCGGAAGACCAAGACTCTCCTCCAACCACGTTGGTCAGAGGCCTTAATTACACTGCCCAACACCTGTAATTAACCCTGCCCCCTCCAGGGGAGATGTCTGGACCCGCTTCCCAAGGGTAGGCGCCAAGGCCAAGAGGCCGAGAAGTCCACATCTGGCAGGGAGGACCTGGGTACAAGAGTGGCCTGGAGTGGCAGTTGAGCCAGCAGGTCCAGGGAAGTCAAGGAGAGGATAGGGTTTGAGAGGAGGCCAGCGGAGGGGCTGGGGCCTCCTGGGAAGTCAGGTCGGCTATGGCTGTTCCTCCCAGACCGGCCAGCAGGTGATTGGGCAACAGCAGCCGTGGGTGGCCGGGCAGGCGGTGAGAGGACGTTTCCCGTTTGTTCACTAAGGCTAGCTGCTTCCGTCAGGAGGGAAGGTGAGCTCATGTCCGAGGAAACTTCGGAGAGAGGCCCTTGAAGGGGCCGGTGGGAAGCAGGTGTCCTCCCAAGTATCAAACAGACCAGCTGATTCTGTTTGTGCCAGGGACGGGGGATAGGTGCTCTGCACAACTGCGCCTTGCCCACCCTTACCCCGCCAAAGGCAGGGGTCAAAACAGAAACTATGCAGATTCCAATCCTGGCTCTTCCACCTTCAGGCTGTGCAACCTTCGGGCATATCATTTAAGCCCTTGGAACATGTTTCCTCCTCTATAAAATGGGGATAATAATACCTACTTCCCAGATGAGATTTAAATGAGATAATGCATGTCAGACTCATTCTTAGAGGTGGCTGCTCTAAGGTTACTGTATTTCTTTTTTTTTTAATGTTCAATGATCGCTGAACTTTTTAGAGGTCTCCTGCCCCACCAAGGGGTGCCCTGCTTCTGCTGCCTTAGCACCTCAAAACTTTGGTGTTTTTGACCTCAGAGACAACTTGTCATCTACAGTCCCGCCAGGGGTGGTGGTTTGGATGGGTTGTACGGAGCTGCTGTTGCCCAGGGTGTTACCAAGATGGAAGCCCTCTCCTTCTTCCAGCAGGTGGTGGTAGGTGGCAATCTCGGCCTCCAGCTTGACCTTGGGGTTCAGCAGGGCCTCGTGCTCCTGGGCCCGACACTGCCCCCGCCCGGGTCTGGGCCGGCCCTGACTCCAGGTGCAGCAGGATCTCATCGAGCTGTTTCATCTGCAAGGCCCAGCGCATCTCCACCTCCTTCAGGCTGTTCTCCAAACTGGCCTGCAGATCTCTCACCGGTCCAGGCTGATGTCCAAGGGATGGGACTGTATGTCGCAGCTCTGTGAGTGTCACCCCAGCAGCCCCTATCTCAGCCGCCTGCAAGGGGACCGCTGCGGCGCTCTGCTCAGTCTGCTGGGACCAGCACTTGTCTAGCTCCTCTCAGTTCTTCTGAGCCAGCTTGTCACACAGGGTCCAGGTGTCCACTGTGATCCTGCCGAGGTCCTGAGATTTGGGGGCATCCAACTCCACAGTTAACCCAGAGTTGGCGGTCTGGTTTTGTAGACCATCTTCTTTCTCCTCGTGGTTCTTCACGAAGAGCAGCTCCTCCCTGAAAGCCTTGATCTCTGTCTCTGGTCTTGAAGTCACACCCTCAGTCTATGACCTGGGGCCCCTCCTGCTCCAGTTTTTCCCAGGTTTTGCTCTCCAGTCTCTGTCTCCGATGATAAGCCTCCGGGCTCCTCACCCTCTCCAGGCAGCAGGCCAGGCGGTCATTCAGACACTGCATAATCTCCTTCTTGCTGGATGCCCCCTATTTCAGCCAGACCCCCGGCCATCCCTAGGGCAAGTACCCCAGACTCCCCAGCCTCCCCAGCCTCCCCAGCCTCCCCGGGCATGGAGGAGTGGGACACAGAGATCTGGGAGTCTGAGCCCCAGGCGCCTGCATAGACACTGGCCACGCTGTGGGCAGGGCGGGCCAGTGCCTGTGTGACAGCTTGGAGCCCAGGGTCTGGCAGTTGGTGGAGAAGCTGGAGCGGGTGTTGAAGCTCATGTACTTCAGGGAGGAAAGCGAGAGACCAAGACTCAGGTTCGAGCTGAAGGTTACTGTATTCTTAGAGACAACGAGCAGAGATGCTCTCCCCAACTTCAGAGGTCTAGGAGAAAGGGCATCTGGGTCTATTTCCCAGCTCCCCTCCTATGCATGCTGCTAAGGAGGCAAATGTTCCTTGCCCCTGCCCCTCCCCCCCCCCCCAATTCTGCCCAGGTCTCAGGCCAGGCCAACGTTCAGCCAGGTCCCAGAGGGCAACGGGTGAAAGTGGAGATGACTCAGCGTTGCCATCGCTGTACCTGGGGCGAGGATCCCGGCTCAGAGATCACCTAAGACTAGCCCTGCGGGAGCTGGTACTTTAAGGCACTCAAACGTGGGAGTGCTTAGGGGGGCGCCAGCGAGTCCAGAGGACCTCACGGTCCTAGCAAACCTCTCGGGACTTCCCCTCCCTTCTCTCCGGGTGCCAGCCCGGCCCCTTTAAAGACATTCCTGAGGGCGTGGCTTAGGTGACGTCAGCGCGGGGCATGAATGAACAGGAGCCGGTTCTCACCCAACTTCCATTAAGGATTTGGGGCAGGAGGTGCAGAAGTTGCGCGCGAGCAGCCGGCGGGAGCGGAACACCGAGGACGGCGTGCGTGCGAGCGTGCGGGAGCGGGGCACGGATCCAGCGGAGAGAGAGGAGAGCGGCATGGAGCGTCCGGCGCCCCGTGCCTGCCTCTCCCTACTCCTGGGCTGCGTTCTGGGCGCCGTCGCGGCGCAGGGCAAGGAAGGTGAGTGTGTGCTCGGCGCACGCCCCATCTCGACATAGCCCGGGCAGCCGATTCCCGGACCTCGGCGTCTCCCGGAGCCCCGAGCGCCTCGACGCGCGCAACTTTGGAAACGGACTTGGCGCCGCACAGTCCCGGCGCGCGGGCTGCGATGGGGACGAATTTGGGACCTACCCCCACCGTGGGGTTTTAGGGGCTGCGGGGTCTAAGGGGTAGCGGCCTGGGAGCGCGGAGCTCGGAGGCCGCCGAGAAGGGAACGCGACGCGGGCCGCGTGGTTGCAGCCCCGGCAGGGTGCGGGGGTCTCTTGGAGAATGGGGTGTCTGGAGGGCTCTCCGCGCGCGGGCTCAGCCTCTTGGTGACCTGAATTCACTAACCCGTTTGCTCCGATTTTGCGAAGAAGACATTTACGCGGAGACTCCTCATTTTGAGGAGGGGGCCCTTCGGCTGGCGGGGAGCACGCTGCGGAAGTCCCTGCTCCCTGAGATTTTCTCCACGCCCCCTTTTCCCTCCAGTCCGGGGCGAGAGCACGAGGGGAGTTTCGGGCCATCTGCCCACGCGCAACTTTTCCTTCTTCCCACCCCGCACTCTCAGGCTCTGGGGGCAGGTTCGCGGCCGCGAGTGCGGACAGGAAGTCCCAAAGTCAAGCGTTCTGAGCAAGGGGTGACTCAGAAAGAGGAAATGCGGCAGGTGGGGGCGCGGCCTCAAGGTGTGGAGCCATCACCCCTGGGCCACCAGGGAGTCCGAGCACCCGAGCCTGGGGCCTGAATCACTCACCCCCGCCCCGGAGCTGCCAGCGCGGCGCTGGGTGAGGGGACCACAGACTTTGCCCTGGGCTGGCGGGTGTGTGGATGGGAGTTTTGTCGCTCAGCCAGGGTCCACGAGAGGATGGGGGCTCCTGCTCGTGGCCAAGGACCTTGCTGTCCACCCAGCAGAGGCTGACTTCAGTTTCCAATAGTGAGAACAAGTTTTCCCCGTTGGTCCGGGCAGGAGGAGGCTTCCGCAGGCTCCACCAGGGGGAAGTACAGAGGAAGTCCTGGCCCCGTGCGAGGTTTCCTTGAGCCTTGCCTTCTTTTTCCACCTCCCAAACTGAGGTTGGAGGTTTTGCTCTCTCAAGTTGGGACGTAAAAGTCAGAGCTGGAGCTCTTGGGGGAGGAGGTGTGGGGTAGCATTCTGTCCCAGATCCATCAAGGCTCCTGGCTCCAACTTGCAAGAGGCATGGGTGGCAGGGATTTCTGTGGCCCTCAGTACCCCCCCCCCCCCCCCCCCCCCCCGCCCCCGCGCCCCATCAACTTTTGGTCCTCCCCCTTCCTTGGGGACTGTGGTTGCAGAGAAGGGGAGAGACAGCTGGAATCACTACAGGCCTTTCTCAAAGGCTGCCCGTGGGGGCTGGGGGATTAGGCTGGCCTGACGCTGCTGGGTGATTGTTATCCTGCCGCCCTAGCCGGCAGCCTGGAAGCCTGGAGCTGCCTTGTCCCTGTGTTCCCATGTTGAGCGCTCTCCAGCCCAGATGACTAGCTGCCTACTTCCATGGGGTGGGGGAGGACAAGGGTGTGTATTGCCGAGTCCTGGGATGGGGGAACGTTTTTGGTGGGCTCCAAAAGTCAGTCCTTGTGAGCGACCCCAGCAGGGAGGTGTGCCTTTGGGGGTGGGGGGCTGGGGAATGATGACCCAGCTGGCAGCTGCTGGTTTATGGTCTTTGGGATTCAGGCTGGACTTGGTGGATCTGCCTAGGGGTGGGTTGCGGGGGAGAGGACGCACATGCCCCTTTCTCCCTTAACCCAGGCCGCTGCTCAGTTCCCTTCTTCTTTCTTGCCCCCACTCCCTGTGGGTAGGGGCGCCAGGCTGTATTTGGAGACTCAGATGGGGCCTGTTAGATTCTCAACAGACACTGAATCTTTACGAAGGGGGAAACTGAGGGAAGCCTAAGCCTTACCAGCCAGGGCTGTCTGCACAGCGAGGGTCCAACCTGAGCATCTGGCATCTGGGGCTGCCGGGGCCCAGGGCCCCTTGCCTTGTGGTTTCATGGTGGATTTTCCTGAGCAGCGGGAATAGCTGGGCAGGCGTACAGGGGCTGCTGGCTTGAGGTGGCTGATGGGAAAAGACCCGGAGAGTGCTCGGGGGCCTGGAAAGTCCTTGGCTTCTTGTTCTGTAAGAGCCTAGTTTGCCCTTTGTCTCCTTCCCTTTTTCCTTCATTCCCCCTGCAGAGTTCACCTTCACCTAAGGACATGCTCATTGATTTTTAGAGAGAGAGAGGAGGGTGGGGGACAGGGAGAGAAACGTTGATGTGAGAGAGAAACAATAGGCTGCCTTTTGCATGGGCCTCCACCAGGGACCAAACCCACAACCTAGGCAGGTGCCCTGACTAGGAATTGAACCCACAACTTTTTGCTTTATGGGATGATCTCCAACCAACCGAGCCACACTGGCCAGGGCTCCCTCAGAGTCCCTTGCCTTCCCCCCTTAGCCGGTCTTGGTTAAAAAGGTATGGGGGAGTCAGGGAGGCGACCCTAAGGGAGTGGGTGGTAGTATTGCCTTTGCACCTGCAAGGGTGATGGTAATAGAACTTAAGGGCGAGAAGGAGGCTTTCCTGGGGCTGGAGTGAGGGTCCCAGGGCTCTTGGATGAGCCCTGCCCAGCCATGCCTCTGGGTGAAGCCTCCTGGGGCAGCTGAGGGGCCCCTGGGCAGCACCCCATTCTTGGGGAAGCAGGTGCCCCCGCCCCTGGTCCCTGGAAGAGGTGCAGAGAGAGCCGCACCCGAGCCAGGGCGGGGGGCGGGGGGTGCCGGCAGGGCCGGGCTCCTGTTCCTGGTGATCGGTTCTAGGGAATTTCCCCGGGGGGGTGGTTCCTTCCTGTGTGAAAGCTTTTTGTCCACTCAGATTGAGGCCTGTGATACTTCTAGAGCCAGGCCTGGGGGCTGGCTCTGGCAGAGGTGGTAGGGGTCCCTCTGTGTCAGATTAACCCTTCAGAGCCTGGGAGCCAAGAGCCCCCTCCCTTGGGCATGGACTGCAGCTTTCCCGCCCGTCTGGGGAGGTGGGTGTGCGGGACTGTGAGGAGCACTCACCGTTGTCCTCCAACCCACCCAGCCGGAGCCAGGAACCTCCGGATTCCTTCCTGTGTAGCCGGAACATTCCATTTGCGAGAGGAGTTAGTGAGTTTTCCAAGCCAGGGCTCTGGGCATGTCTGAACAGATCCCTGCCTCATCCACCCTCCTGCCCCGCTACCCCAAACCCCACAGGCTTGGGGCAGGTGCCATATCAGATTTCCGATCCCTTGTCTGGGCTGCCGGACCCTTCCTAGAGAGACCTGGCCCTGGTCAGCAGTCAGGTGGCAGTGTCTGACACCCAGGACCTAAGGTCAGGGGAGCCAGGCTGTCTCACCTCAGGGAAGGATTTCTAAGACTCCTATCGGGTCCCTGGCTTGACGCACCCTCAGCCCCATCTCAGTCCGGCCCCACTCTGCTCCCTGCCTGCCCGAAGCTCCACCCTTAGGCTCCTTGGCCCTTGCCCTGGCCCTCAGGCACACTGCCCCTTGAGGCCAGCGTTCCTCGTGCTCCATGGTCCAAAGGAAGGGGGTACTTGGTCCCTGACCCTTTCCAACTTAGCGCTTTCCCCTCTGAGTCTGGGGACCTTGTTTAGGGTCCATACCTCAGTTTCCCCAATCTCCTCGCCCTCCAGGCTGGGTGGCACATGTTGGCAGCTACCTGGACTTTACTCGGGAACGGAGGAGGGGCGGTGCCCAGGGTCTTGGGTCTCGGCTGCCGCCATGGAGCCTGGCAGAGAGCCGGGTAGACGGGTGGGGGCTGCTAGATCCAGGGGAGGCCCCGGCGGCGAGTCCCTCCCTCAGGCCCCAGCAGCCTCTCTGGGGACAGCGTTGTCCTGAAACCTGGTCCCACAGGCACCCCTGGCAGAGCAGTGGCCAGGGCATGAGGGACAGGCCAGTGAGAGCGGCTTTCCCAAGGAGGGGACCTTGCCAGCTGTGGGTATTTCTGGGCCCCTCCTAAAGGCTCCTGTGGGTTCAGGGCTTTATCCCGCCTGCTCTGTGGCTTTTGTGGTGGGAAGATCGATTTCCAGACACCCCCCACTGCCTCCCCCTCCCCTCCTTGGAGCCAGTCCCACCTGTTAACAGCCCTCCCTCCTTGGGGTGCCAGGAGCCACACGTGTACATATGTGTGTGGTGGGGTTGTGGGTATTTCATGCTGGGGGAGAGGACGGGCGGGGGCAGACAGCAGGGCACCCAAAGCCCCTTCTGTGTGAAGTGCGCCCAGAGCCCCGCTTCAGGAAGCAGGCTGGGCAGCGTGGTGTCATTTAACAGCCCAGCCCTGACGGCCCCAGCCCTCTGCCCAGCTGCTGTCCCCCCGCTGGGCCGAGCTCTGTCCTGCTGTGCCCAGCTGGAGGCTGACAGAGAGGGTGGCGTGACTGGAGCTGTGGCCTAGGACACAGGAGGCCTAGGCCTCCCCCAGCCTGCTCTGTGGCTTTGACTGGGTCCCATCCCTTCCCTGGGCCTCTGTTTCCTTATTTATTGAGGGACGGGTCTCTTGGATCTGGTGACCCTATAGAGGGGGGTCTCCCTCTGAGGAGAGGAAGCCGGCAAGGGTTCTTGGGGCCCCCAGGGGACCCTCACCTTTTCCACCATGGCCTTATCCCTGGAGGTACCCCCGAAGCTCATTGGTCTCCTCTCCTGTCTCTTCCAGTTGTATTGTTGGACTTCGCTGCTGCTAAGGGGGAGCTCGGCTGGCTCACACACCCATATGGCAAAGGGGTAAGCCTTCCGGGTCGGGCAGGGGAGTGGGAGTGGGGACACAGGCCCAGGGAATGGGGCCAGCCTACATCAAACAGCTCAGCCAGCGTTCGTACTTAGTGTCCTGCTTCTCACACCAGCATAGAGTCCGCCATCCCAGGGTGGGCGGTAGGGAAGGGACCTGAGAGGTGGGGAGAGTTGGGAGACAGCTGAAGACCCTAGCAGAGCAGGGACCCATGGATGCCTCCGAAGGCTGATGGTCAGGGAGACCATCCTGGGAGGGAAGGGGTTAAAGCCGCCCCGTGTCTTCCAGGTCCCAGCGCAGGAGGTGTGGGGCGAGGGGGAGGCAGGGAGCGGTGGCTCTGGCCCGCAGGTGCCCACACCCCCAGCCAGGAAAAGGATCAGATTCCTTCCTGTCAGGCCCCTCTTCTGCTCCCCCAGCTGTTGCTCCCCCTTCCTGCCTCGGGCTCAGTTTGTTCTGCCTCATCCCCATCCAAGTTTTCTCCCCTCTGCCCTGGCCCGTTAGGACCAGGACTGGAGGGCAAGACGCGGGGGTCCTATCTCCAGCTTTGCATGACATGGCCCTGTGGTCTTGAGGAAGATATTGCTGCTCTCTGGGCCTCAGTTTGTCCCTCTGTACAGTGGGCTTGTCCTTGCCGAGCTTGTCCTGAGGCCCTTAGCCAGGGAGGAGTGTATGTCCAGGGGGCTAGTTGAGATAGTCCCCACTGCAGGCTAGACCTGTGTGACTTAGGTGCTTGTCCCCGGTCCCCTGAGCTCCGAGGAGGCCTGGAGTGTAGCTTTAGCGGATTTCCAGGATCCTGGAATGTCCAGCTGGGAGGGTCTCAGATCATTTAATGGAACCTAGTCATTATACAAAGTGGGAATCTGGGGCCCAAGGGCATTTGAGACCTTGGCCTATGTCACACTGTGCGGCCCAGGCTTCTTTCCTTGGCCCCTTGGCTTTCATTCATTCATTTGCTCATTTATTCATCAGATACTTTCCCAAGTACCTGCTCTGTTCCAGGTAGGCCCTGGGTGTACAGAAATTAATTAGGCGCAGTCCCTGCCCCAAGGAGCTCCGAATCTAGTGTGGGAGCCAAATGTAGGTGTTACGACATAGATGTCAAAGATTGTGACAAAGGGGCCATGAGACTAGGAGGCAGAGAAGGACGTTAGGCCCAACCTTGGCCCAGCCTGGGAAGTCTCCCTGGAGGAGGCTGAGCTTTGTTCTGAGGAGGGAAGATGCACTCATCTGTCCCAAAGCCAAAACCTGCAAGATGGGGGTGTCGTCCGCTGTTCCTGACTTAGCGTCTTCCCCTGCCCCCACACTCACCTACCCACAGGCACGCGGTGAGCAGTAACAGCGATGCTGCGGCTGTTTCATCCTACCCCACCAGGCAGTGCGCTCAGCATTTTGTAGACATCATGTCACGTATCCTCAGGGCAATTCTGTGAGCTAGATCCTGTCCCCAGTATGCAGATGTAGCCTTTGAGGTGCAGAAAGCTTCAGGGCTCCACCCGAGGTCCCACGGACCCCCGTCTCCACTCCCAACTCACAGTCTAATATTAGAGGTCCAGCACCTTGACATTGGGATCAGAAACACCAGGGAGGCACCTCCTGGCTCCATACCTCTGGTGGCGGGGGCAGTGACAGGAAGTACCTCTCAGGGCCTCAGCTTCCTCCCCTGTAGAATGAGGATAATGAGAACTGACAGGCGTCTTCTTGATGCCCTGCTCTGCCGCCCGGGCATTACCTCTGGGCCTCAGGTCGCCCCCAGCGCCTGCCCACACTAACCTGTTTGCCCTACACAGTGGGATCTGATGCAGAACATCATGGACGATGTGCCCATCTACATGTATTCCGTGTGCAACGTGGTGGCCGGTGACCAGGATAACTGGCTCCGCACCAACTGGGTGTACCGTGGTGAGGCCGAGCGCATCTTCATCGAGCTCAAGTTCACTGTGCGTGACTGCAACAGCTTCCCCGGCGGCGCCAGCTCCTGCAAGGAGACCTTCAACCTTTATTACGCCGAGTCAGATGTGGACTATGGCACCAACTTCCAGAAGCGCCAGTTCACCAAGATCGACACCATCGCGCCCGACGAGATCACGGGCAGCAGCGACTTCGAGGCCCGCAACGTGAAGCTGAATGTGGAGGAGCGCTCTGTGGGGCCTCTCACCCGCAAGGGCTTCTATCTCGCCTTCCAGGACATTGGTGCCTGCGTGGCGCTGCTCTCTGTCCGAGTCTACTACAAAAAGTGCCCCGAGCAGCTACAGGGCCTGGCCCGCTTCCCTGAGACCATCGCAGGCTCTGATGCACCCTCGCTGGCCACCGTGGCTGGCACCTGTGTAGAGCATGCTGTGGTTCCACCTGGCGGTGATGAACCCCGCATGCACTGCGCGGTCGACGGCGAGTGGCTGGTGCCCATCGGTCAGTGCCTGTGCCAGGCAGGGTACGAGAAGGTGGAGGACGCCTGCCAGGGTGAGTGATGGTGCAGGGGTGGCAGGGAAAGGGGGCGTCGGGGTGGAGGATGTGTCCCCAAGCCCCTACTCTTGGTTCAGAGACTGTGGGACCTTGGTAAGGCCGTTGGTGCTCTGATGTGCAGTGGTTCTCTTGGTAGAAATCGCAGGCCCTTCCTGGACTTCAGGTTTTTTACTTACGTCTCGATTCATGCATTCACTGAGAATGAATGAATGGAGAAATGAATGATTTGAGGCTAGTATGGAGGCTATGAGCAAGGACTCTAGGACAAGAAGGCCTGGCTTCAGATCCCAGCCCTACATTTAGCTGTGAGACTGTAAGCCAGCTCCCCAACCTCTCTGTGCCTAGGTTTTCTCATCTGTAAAATGGAGATGACATAGTGCCCCTCTTGTAGAGTGGTTATGATAATTAAATGACTTAATGCTCGTAAAGTGATTAGGTCAGTGTCTGACACATAAGTGCTTTTAAGTGTGGTTGTTATTTTTGTTCCATCCCACAAGACTCTCTTGAGTATCGACTGCATGTATGCCAGCACTGTGGGCACCTGGTACAGCCCCAAGAGCTAGTTCCATCTCTGTTAGCTCACTGTGTGACCTTAGGCAAGTCACTTAACCTCTCTGGGTCTCGAGCTCCTTTTTTGTACATGGAGGTAAGTGAATCGGATCCAGGATTCACATTCTCTGGCTGCACATAAGAATCACCTGGGCAGCTTCTGAAAAATGCCTGTGCAGGCGAAAAGGTGGCGGGGAAACGTAGGGTCTGCTCCCCGCCTGACCCTCCCCAGACCGTAGACCCAGGTTCTCTCATAGGGGCTTCTCCTGATGACAGAGCAAGCCCGGAGAGGGGGCCAGTTAATCCAGACTCTCTCTGGGAGCAGGGCCTGGGCATCGGTGAGCTCACACGGGGAGGCTGTGGCTTGGCACGGCCAGGGCCTATGACAGTGGAAATCTCCACGGCAACGTGGTTTTTTTTTTTCAATGGGTGATTTTTTTCTGCAAAGGGCTGTGGGGCAGGACATTTGTGGAATGCAGGCCGACCTTTGGAAGGCCAGCTCATCCCCTTTCTCTGGGAGCTTCTTTGCTGAAGTAAGCAGGGTGTTGAGAAATGGGAGGTTTAGGCCCTGCAGTTGCACATACCCGCAGAGCGACCTTGGGTCAATGTCTCTTCATCTCTGGCCTCAGGTTTCCTGTCAATAAAATGCCAAGTTCGAGTCTCACAGCTGACTTTATACATGGTGTTTAGCTGCAGACCCTGCAGCCGATGAAGTGGGTCGCAGTGTTGGAGGGGACTGAAGCCCTTCCTGACAGGCCCCCTAAAATGCTTGTCTCCTAAAAACACACCCTCAGCACCTTGCTTAACACAGTCTGGGAACCCTCGGATGAAAAGATCCCTCAGAGCCTTTCCGGCCACAAGCCTGTGGTGTAGTCTCTGCTCCGGCCATTCTTACCACCCCGGCGGACCTCCCAGCTCCCCTTTGCTGAGTGAGGCGGCCCCCGATTGAGGTGACAAGTGCACACTCCCAGTTTCAGACAATGACCGTGGGATTTGGGGGTGGGGGGTGGTGCTGAGGCAGCCTAGTGGGTTGAGCGGGCTCCTCCCACATGACATCCTCACACAGGAATGCGGGGGTGGGGGTGAGGGGCTGCTGAAAACTTTCCACAGGCTGGTGATTCAGGCCCTGCAGAGATAAGTGGACGGTCGGGGTGGGGGGGTCTCTCCAGGAAAGGGGGGTGGCCCTCCCTCCTCCGGAGGTGGGGGGTCAGGATCCTGGCAGGCTTTGTTTGTGAAGAGCTAGAAAGCCCCCGATAGGGAAGACTGGCTTCCAAGAGCCAAATCTTGGACTTTGCTGGTGGGACCCTCTCAACTGCCAGCCACCTGCTGCCTTGCTTTTCCTTCCTTGGGATCCCGCTACCAAAATTCCCTTCCGTGTGCATTAGGGGCACTCTGTGTGCCTGGGAACCTCCAGCCCGGCTCCTCTGTGTCCCTTCAGACCTTTCCCAGCCACCGCCGGTGGAGAGAATAACAGTAACTTCCGCAGATAGGTGTTCTCCAAGGGTAGGCGCGAGCTAGGCAAGTGCTTTACCTGGATGCTCCTGCTGAGTTCGCACCGCCTTTCTGAGAGGTAGAAACTGCTATCAATCCCATTTAACAGGCAGGGATCTGAGGCTCAAGAGGGGCTCAGAGCCTTGCCTGGAGTCACCCAGCTAAGATACGGTTGCATCAGGATTCGAATCCAGGCCGGCGTCCAGGCGAGAGGATGGGTGAGGAAGTGCAGCGGGAAATGACCAGTTCCTTTGGAATCCCTGACTCAGCTCTTGGCCCTGGGGCCAGCTCTCAGGGCAGCCCCAGGATGGCAAGGTCCCGGAGCAGGAGGTGGAGTGATTGGCGGGCAGTTACTGAGCATGTTGAGGGGGAAATTGAGGGAGGCGCAGGGTCCACCCCTCCGCCTGACTCTCCACAGACCACAGACCTGGATTCTCCCGCTGGGGCTTCTACTGATGACCCATCAAGCCCAGAGACGGGGGGTGGGGGCCTGAGGTCACCCAGCACCTGGTCCAGGTTATTCCCAGAGTTTGTTTCTCCTCAGGGGTCTTTCCCCAGGATGTTTGGAGCTCAGGAAAGAGTTAAACGGACAGTGGAAGGGAGGCACCTCCCAGGTGCTGTGTTGGACAGGTGGGCACACTGCCCGGCAAGCTCTCGTGAGCTATGTCAGGAATGAGCCAGCTTCACTCCAGCCGCCCCCACCCTGTCCCCCGTCCCTGCCTGGAGGACAGTGGAGTCACTCAGGCTGACAGTCATCTCCCCTGGGGCTGCTTTGTCTCCCTGTTCGTCTCCGCTTCCTGTGCTGGCATTGGCAGCTGAGCTGGCGGGCCCCCCGGCTGGCGCCTCGGCCATGGGGACTGCCGGCCAGGTGAGCAGGTGGCCAGCGGCTTTGGCCAGAGGCTCAGCCCAGCAGCTGGGAGGCCAGAGCTGGAGGTGGGGGCGGCAGGGGTTTGGGAATTCCCTCCTTGGAGACTCCTGCTCCCTTAAGGGGTCCAGCACCTCGGGAATGTCCCCTCTCCACGTTAGTTTCTCTATTCCTGGTACGCAGGGATACCCCATTCCAGGTACCATGCTAAGCCTTTTACAAGCAAGGTTCTCTTCCATCTTCACAAACAACCCAGAGGGACCTGGGACTTTTATTCCCACTTTACAGATGAGGAAACTGAGGCCCAGAGAATGGAAACAGTGACCCATGACCAAAAGAGCTGGGGCCTGGCAGGAGTAGGGCAGGACACTGTCCCCATTAGCACCTGGCATATGTCCTTCTACCGACAACAGTATGACTGTGATGAGTCCCCCCGAGCCTCAGTGGTGAGGGTCCACCTGCTGCAACTTTCTGCTGTGGCCCAGTGGAAGAGCGTGATTGCTCTGGCAGACGGTTGACCCTGTGACTCTCTGCCTGTGGCAAGGAGCAGAGTCCCAACACTGGCTTCGCGAGGGGCCCGAGCCTGGCCCAGGGTCCACAGCTGCAGGGGAGGCATCCCCTGGGCAGGACATGGCCCTGGTTGAGGAGGTTCTTATGGTCCATGCGTGGCAGGGGACCTGCTTTGTCAGAATTGGCTGGGGGCTCTGTGTGCTCTGGGGCTTGTCCCCTCCCTGGGGAGTGCCACTAGGCCTCAAGTGCCTGGAACTACTACTGCTCTGCAGGAGTGCGGGGGGGCGTGGGTGGCAGCCCCCTCCTCCCTGCTTCGGCTACCCCTCCCTCAGCTCACACTGGGGACAAATTCAGGGGCTGGCAGCTCCTTGGGGAGGCCCCTCCCTCTCTCACCGGAGGTGAGTGGGTCCCCAGAAGGGAAGGAAGGAGGCAAGGGAAAGCAAACAGAAGATAAAAGGCTGGTGGTAGGGAGAGAACAGGAAGCTGGGAGGCATGGGGAGGGTGGCGGGGGGGGGGGGGGGAGGGGGAAGCCCCTGTGCTTATCATGGCTTGGTGGAGGAATGTGCCCCAAGATAATTCCCCAGGGCGTGTGTGAAAGAGGCAAGGTGCTGGCAGCAATCGGGGCCATGGAGACACCTGCTTCTGTGGGGACAACAGGGCCCGCTGTGGAGTGAGAAGCTCCCGGGGCCTGGAGTTATCAGTTCCTCTCATTTGCTGGGTCAGTAACTTCCGAGTTGCCATCGACAAAGTCCACATCCTTGGCCTGAGGTGGCGCACACCAGCCAGACATGGCTTGGGGAAGTGACTGGCCCCAGGTGAATTGCCACTGTGACCGCCTGACCTTATGACCTCACCACCATTGGCCTGGGAGGGGGTTGGGCCTGGGGGGAGGAGCTCTGCCTGTGGCTGGATTTGCGTCACATCAGAGGGCGTCTGTCCCTGAGTCACCCCACGCCGCCACCTGAGGGGCCAGCACTGGGAACTGGAAAAACCGGGGTGCAACTCGGGGCGCAGCCGCCGTGCCCTAGTTCCCCTTCTCAGAGTGGTCCGGGCCTCCCAGGTGACTGGGGCCAGAGAAGATCCCCGCGGGCCTGCTGCGCCTTCCCCACAGGGTCTCCCTGGGCCCCGGGACACCGCTCGCTTCTCTGGTCCTAGACTGTGTGTTTAATGTGCATTTTGTAGGTTTTGCCATCCACTCAGGCATTTATTCATTTGTCCACCCAAACATAAGCTGAGCACCTGCCGCATGCCAGGCCCTGTGCTGGGCCATGGGACACAGATAAATTGGACTCCATTCCTGCTGCTGCCCAGGAACTGCCAGTCTCATAGAGGCTAAAATGTGCAGCAGTGGTTTCAGATGGAGCCCTAACGCCAGACTGTGAATCCCCCTGGGGCAGAAATGGTGTCTCACTCCCTCACCACGGGATCCTGGCACCCTACATTGTGCCAGACGCGTAGAAAGTGCTCAATTTCTATTTGTTAAACATGAACTTGAGCAACGGGTGCCCTAAGGGGGCTGAGGGGGGCCAGCAGTTGGGCAGTCCGGGAGGGCCGTGTGGAGGAGCCCTCTAATCCCCAAGCTGGGTATTGAAGGATGCATAGGAGTCTGCAGGTTGGCTAAGGGACGGTGAGCATTTTGTGTATGGGGCTGGGTTCCAAGTGTGTGTGAACACCCAGTGTGTGACCCCTGTCCCTACTCGCCTACCCAGAAGACCAAGAAACCCAACCAGGCAAAGTCAGGAGGACACAGGAGCTTGCTGGTGTCCTACACATGAACTCTGAGGCCCCCAAGAGCTGGCGCACTCCGGCGTGGCCCCGGGGCCAGCCTCTCGGAGCTCTGTGGTGGGAGGAGGGGGCCGCACATTCTCGTCAGGCAAGCACATGCCCTGTTGATGCTGCCTCTCCACTGTGTTATCTGGCACATCCGCAGCGGAAATCTCTCCAAATTCCCTCTTTCCTGCCGGCAACAGGCAGGCCACCCCCAGGCTCAGGGGCCAAAGAATGGAACCCGACTCTTCCCTCACTTCCTCCTCTTGGCACAGGGCTGGGGGGCTGGGGAGGAAGTGGGGGAAGTGGTGTGGAGCGGGGGCATTGTGGGGGTTTGCAGGTGGCTAAACCCTCTAGCAGGACCAAGCCCGAGCTGCGGGTCCTGTGGTCCCCTCCCCAGCCTGAGAGCCTGGGCTGGGTGAGAGGCCCTGGAGCACCCGTCCCTGCTGGGGCTGCACCCTCTGCAGCCAGCCCTTCCCCAGGGACTAGGCCCCTGGCAGACAAGTCAGAGCATCTGAGGGAATTGAAATCCCAGGATAAACATGGCTCAGCTTTCTGGAGTTTCATTTTTACTTGAAGATGTGGGAGAGAGCTCTTTTTGTATTAGAAGAGATAGGAGGGTGAATGCAAAACACACATGGATTTCTTAAATGCAATAGGCGACTTAAAGGACCTTTGGGGCTTGAAGGAGGCCACTGAGGCCACCCCGACCTGGGGTTGAGTCTACTCTTTTCTTCCCTTAGGATATAAATGTGCCCAGTGTGAGAAGACCTATGTTAAGAGCACACTCCCTCCCGCCCCATCCTTTCCCAGCTGCCCTGAAGTCAGTCTTGGGATTTTCTGGCTCTTGAAGCAGGTCAGGCCCCATCTCCTCTCTCTTGGGGCTTGTTCCAGAACATCGATTCCTCTTTGCTCTGAATTGAGATGCTCACACGGAAGAAGAGGGGCTCAAAGTCAAACATTCTGGGTTTAGGTTTTGGTTTTGTGCCTTAGGAGCTTGCTGACCTTGGGCAAGCTGGTTTGCCTCTCTGCACGTCAGCTCCCCTACCTCCGAAGAAGAATGAATAGTAACAGTGCCCAAGTATAACAGGCTTATTGTGAGGACTAAATGAAATGTCAAGTGCTTGGCCCGGAAGCGGCACAGAGCGGTTGTTTAATCAGTGGTTAGTGTTTGTCATTGGCGCTCCGCGCTCTGCACAGAGCAGGAGTTGGGTCCCAGGCACCTCTGTCCTGGACAAGCCCCCTTTCCTACAGCGCATGTCCAAGCTGTTCCAGGGTCTGTGCTGAGGTTCTGACACGCAGAGAGGGTGACAGAGACTGCTGGGATGGTCCCTATGTCCCCCCTGTAAGAAGTCATTAACAGGAAGTCATTTGTCCAAGACCTTGACTAGAACTGGGTGTCCTTTGAGTCCTGTCTCCTGACTCCCATTCCCCCGCCCACCTCTGTTCAAATACTTGGCCCAAGATTTTTCTTGACAGGGTAGATCTGACGGTACCATTCCTCTCTCCACCAAACCTTCAATGGCTCTCATGGCCTTCAGGATAAAGTCCCAGCTCCTTGGCCTAGCATTAAAGGCCTTTCTCTTTCCGGCTCCTTGAGACCTCTCAGCCTTTACTGCCTGCTGCTCCCCCCAGTTTGTGCTCACGAAGCCACTCATACCTTCTGTTAGTCTTGCTGCTTCTCACCCCTAACCCTCCCAATATTTCTGTTCCGCTGAACTCCTACCCAGCCTCTAAGCCCCAGCTGAAATACCTCCTCTAGGACTCCTCAGACCTCTGGCCACCGCTGTTTCTGCCGCCTTAGCCCTCTGCCCATGCCTCCATGGCCGGCATTGCCCGGGCCCCTGCTGCCTAGGGTCAGGGTCCATGTGTCGCGCAGGGCTGAGCACAGAGGAGGGGACCCGTGAGTGTCTGACGAACATGGTGCTGGGGTTGCAATATCCCAGCAGCCCCTCCGCAGATTAGGTTGAAGGAGGGTGTTGGTAATTTAGGGCTCTGGGAGACGTCCCTAAGGTGACCCCACTCCACTCTGGCCACTTCAAGGCCTGGGCAGCCCTGCACAGGAGTCCTCGTGTCTGGGCAACTTCCTGCCTATGGATCCAGGAAGGGGCCTGGAGCAGGCGCAGGATAGGGCAGTGGGAGGAAGAAGCTTTTGGAGTCAGGTGCCTGAGCCGCTAGCTGTCCTGGCCCGGACAGGACCTACCATCGGGGGAGGAAGAGCCACTTCCTGGCCGCCTTTGTGAGTGGCGGAAATGACTCGGTCCTGGAAACAGATCCAGAGAAAATGCTCGGGGCCTGGCCTTTCCTGCTTTCTGGTCGGCCAGCCCTGGGACAGGAAGATGGTTGGGTCTTGGAGTGAGGGGAGCACCTACAAGGGTGGCATCCTGAGCCGGTGTGCCCGGCTGATCCATCAAGGTGGTGGCAATGGTCACCAAAACGAACGGTGAAAAAGATACAGTTATTGCCCCGGGCAGCCCTCGGTCCAGGTGGGGACCTGTCGGGCTGGTCCACACAGATTAGAGATACAGTACGCTCTGTCCAGTGCAGAGCCAGGTGTGAGATGGGAATCTTAGGAAGCTGAAGGGTGAGGCGTGGGCTTTGCGTGCCCGGCTCCGGGCCGTGGCGCTTCCTGCAAGAACCAGGGGGGTGGGATGCAAAGGTCTGGAGCAGGCAGATGAGGCATTCCCTGAGTGCCAGTGCGAGCTAGGTGCTTGCCATGCATTTTCTCATCACAAGACCTCGTGTCCATGTGAACACAGGCCCACAGAGGCTTAGTGACTTGCCTGGGGTCCCGCGGCCAAGGGGTGGAACGGTTGCTTGTGGTAGGAACGGCTGGAACTGATTGCTCTCCTTCCCTTTGTCTGCCAGCCTGCTCGCCTGGATTCTTCAAGTCCGAGACATCTGAGAGCCCCTGCTTGGAGTGCCCTGCACACACCCTGCTGTCCTCCGAGGGGGCCACCTACTGTGAGTGTGAGGAAGGCTACTTCCGAGCACCGCAGGACACGCTGTCGATGCCCTGCACACGTGAGTTGGCAGTGGTGGGTCAGGGAGGTTGACGGATGCAGGCGTGATCTGGTGGTTGGCATGTCCAGGGGTCCCTGGGTTTGAGCTTTGCCCTCTGCCCTCCGCGTAGGCCCGCCTTCTGCTCCAAGCTACCTCACGGCCGTGGGCATGGGTGCCAAAGTGGAGCTGCGCTGGATGCCCCCCCTGGACAAAGGGGGCCGTGAAGACATCACCTACAGGGTCACCTGTGAACAGTGCCTGCCCGAGTCGGGTGAGTGCAGGCCCTGTGAGGCCAGCGTGCGCTATTCCGAGTCACCGAATAGGCTGACCCACACCAGCGTGACCGTCAGCGACCTGGAACCCCACATGAACTACACCTTCGCCGTCGAGGCCCGCAATGGCGTCTCGGAGCTGGTGGCCAGCCGCAGCATCCGCACCGCCAGCGTCAGCATCAACCAGACAGGTGAGGCCTGCTGGTGGCGGCTGTCGCCTAGGTGGGGCTTCCAGGGAGAGGACAGCCACCCAGGGCTCAGCCGTGGTCAGAGAGAGGCAGCAGCAAGTGGTCAAAGCACAGCCTCTGGAGTCACTTCCAAGCCCTGCGACTGGGGACAAGCTGCCTAACCTTTCTGAGCCTCAGTTTCCTCACCTGTAACATGGGGATGGGGTAACAGGGCTATTGAGAGGATTTAGTAAATTCTTCTGTATAAGGCTCTTAGAACAGTGTCTGATCCACACAAAGGATATAGCAGGAGTCGGCTATTATTTTATTTTTATTATCTGTGCGCTCATAAATGCTCTCAGGGCGCCTCTGTGCTGGCTGTTGTGGGGCCTGTGCTCTGGAACAGAAAGTTAAGAATTCCAGGCTGGGGTCTGGGGTCTAAAGGGCCTGGGCTGTGCATGGGTCTGGGGGCACTCGCCCCCCCCCAGCCCCTGGGTGGCTCTTCACACCCCTCCCACACCTGCTGTTCCACCTAGAGCCCCCCAAGGTAAGGCTGGAGGACCGCACCACCACCTCGCTGAGCGTGTCTTGGACCATCCCGCGGCCGCAGCGCAGCCGCGTGTGGAAGTACGAGGTTACCTACCGCAAGAAGGTAACTCACAGAGGGTCAGGGCTGGCCCCAACTGGTCACGTAGATGCTCGCTGCATGACAGCCATCTGAGGAAGCTCCATTCTGCAGATGGGGAAACTGAGGTCTGGGCACTTGCTGAGTCAAACCTCCCAGGCCAGCCAGCACAGCAGAGATTTGTGGGCGAGAAGACTCAGTGTCTTTGAATTCCCAGACAAGACAGTTGGGGGAGGATCTTGGGGGACCTGGCAGACCTGGGTTTGGGTCCCGAGCCATGCATTTGCTGCCTGTGACATCTCCGAGCCTCAGTTTCCTCCTCTGTATGGAGAGCATCGCATTTGCTGGCTAGGCGAGCTAAGCTGGGGTGGTCTCTGGTGGGCTGGGCTGAGGCTCCTGCCTGTCCTCATTGTCTGTGTTTGCGCCCGCTGGCCACCCACAGGGCGACTCCAACAGCTACAACGTGCGCCGCACTGAGGACTTCTCTGTGACCCTGGACGACCTGGCTCCAGACACCACCTACCTGGTCCAAGTGCAGGCGCTCACACAGGAGGGACAGGGCGCCGGCAGCAAGGTGCACGAGTTCCAGACGTTGTGTGAGTCGGAGACCAGGGCGGGAGCCAGGCCAGGGCCCTGGCATGGAGCTGCTAGGAAATCCTGAGAGGTCGAAATGGGTCAAAAACCTTAGCCATCCTCCTTCCTGGACAGCCCGGTCCTAGGACAACCCTGTGGCGGGAAGGGGCTGAATTGGGGGCTCGCTCGGGGCAGGGCGGTGGGAAGGACAGACATGGGCTCTGGCATTGGCAGACCCACTTCAAACCCTCCCCTGCGGAGGGCCTCCTGTAGTCCCCGAGGAGGCCTTTCATTGCCGGTCTGGGAAATGGGAATAAAGATCCTTCGGAACCACCACGAGTAAAAGAACTCAGCACATGTCTTGGGTCCCTAAAGTGGGCCCTGGGTTCAGCAGGGAGTGTGGACTCGGTGTTGGGGGGGCACCCGTATCATCAGTTGGTCTCCCCCGACAGCCGCGGAAGGATCTGCCAACATGGCAGTGATTGGCGGAGTAATCGGCATCGTCATCTTGGTTCTGGTGCTGGCAGGAATCGGCTTCTTCATCCTCCGCAGGTTCGTAGGGCTTAGGTGGGACACAGAGGGGCGGGAACATCAGTTTCCTGTCTGGAAAACGGACTGATGGTATCTGCTCCCCGCTTGGGGGGTATGAAGCTGCAAAGAGCTAGGACGTGCTGGGCACTGCTCCCGGCAGGCCATTGGGGCCTGGGACATGGCGGTCATTATCTTCGTTCTTGTTGTTAATGGCGTGTCCACACTTCCTCTGGACACGTGGGCAGGAAGCACCAGGGAGCGTTAATGAGGAAAGCCCTCATTTTGGCCGTGCCAGGGCACAGCTCCCAAGGAGCGAGCCCACTTGCTCACTTCCTCTCCGCCCCGCCCCAGCCTTCCCCGCGCCCTCTGCCAAGGGAGCAGGGTGCTGAGCATACTCAGTCCCCGCTCAGCACCGGAGCTGGGTCGGGAGGCTCCTGGCCAGAGCAGGCTGCTGACCTCCCTGTGTGTTTGGTCCCTGTCGGGTTCTCAGGAGGAAGAGCCTGCGGACGCGCCAGTCCCCAGAGGACGTTTACTTCTCCAAGTCAGGTGAGATGCTGCCCCCTCTGTCCCCATCCCTGCTGTCCCCACTGGGCTCCTCAGCTCTGTGGCAGAGACCGGTGGGGGTGGGGGCAACCAGCAGCCAGCACACTCCCAGCACTTCCCCGGGAAGCCCAAAGGGACTGAGCCAGAAGCTCCATGTCCCATGCTCTGGTCCCAGTCTCCTGGCCACTGGTTGTGTAGCTACCGTGTTGTCCTTTAGCGCAACCCTTCCCCGGGACCCTCCCTGACCTGCCTGTGACCTAGCCCTTCCTCCTCCTCCCAGAACAACTGAAGCCCCTGAAGACATATGTGGACCCACACACATATGAGGACCCCAACCAAGCTGTGCTGAAGTTCACCACCGAGATCCATCCGTCCTGTGTCACGCGACAGAAGGTGATCGGAGCAGGTGAGTGGCCGGCCTGCGGAGGGGCCTGGCATGGGTTGGGCGCGCCTGGTCCGGGCTGACCGGGGCTCTCCTCCCACCGTGCCTGCCTGTAGGAGAGTTTGGGGAGGTGTACAAGGGGACGCTGAAGGCATCAGGGAAGAAAGAGGTACCTGTGGCCATCAAGACGCTGAAAGCCGGCTACACGGAGAAGCAGCGGGTGGACTTCCTCAGCGAGGCCAGCATCATGGGCCAGTTCAGCCACCACAACATCATCCGCCTGGAAGGCGTCGTCTCCAAATGTGAGGCTTGTCCCCAGAAGTGCGGGTGGGGAGCCCTTGGGGGCCTGACCCACAGGGGGGTGGAGAGGAGCCCCCCGTAGGGTCACCGCACCGGGACTCGGTCTGTAGCTGTTCCCGCCATCCGTACCCACAGCCGTGGCCACGCCCCGCTCTGTGCCATCCCCTTACACTGTGTCTAACCCCTGCAGACAAGCCCATGATGATCATCACTGAATACATGGAGAACGGGGCCCTGGACAAGTTCCTTCGGGTAAGGACGTGGGCTGGGGCGGGCCGGGACCCACGGGGACAGGCTTGAGGGTGCCCTGCCGGGCTCGGGGTTGCTGGTGGCTGATGCCTGTGCTCTGACAGGAGAAGGACGGCGAGTTCTCCGTGCTGCAGCTGGTGGGCATGCTGCGGGGCATCGCGGCCGGCATGAAGTACCTGGCCAACATGAACTACGTCCACCGCGACCTGGCCGCCCGCAACATCCTCGTCAACAGCAACCTGGTCTGCAAGGTGTCTGACTTCGGCTTGTCCCGCGTGCTGGAGGACGACCCTGAGGCCACCTACACCACCAGTGTGAGTGCCAGAGGGGCTATGACGCCTGGGGGTCGGGGACTTGAGGGTGAAGCAGCCTTGGCCCTGTCTGGGGTCCTTGCACTTGCCCATTCTCGGGTGTGGACCTCAGGAGGCAAGAGCAGCTGTCGGGAGTGCAGAGGAGGGGCCCGGACTACAAAATCTGGTCTGGCTGCAGCACTCCTGAGGCTGATCAGAGGGGACAGTGGTGACTGGGCCTGGGTCCCCCACAGGGTGGCAAGATCCCCATCCGCTGGACAGCCCCGGAAGCCATTTCCTACCGCAAGTTTACCTCAGCCAGCGACGTGTGGAGTTACGGCATTGTCATGTGGGAGGTGATGACATACGGCGAGCGGCCCTACTGGGAGCTGTCAAACCATGAGGTGAGCCCTCTCCTCCTGCCCAGGCCTGCCTTGGACCCGAACGGGAACTCTACTCATTCCCAAACCCCGAGGGCTAGGCAGAGAAGAGTTTTGCGGGCCGATCTTCGTCTGGTATAGCGCATTCATGGGTTTGTTCAGTAAATGTTTATTGAGGGCCTACTATGTGCCAGGCCTTGTGCTGGGTTTCAGACCCAGCCTCTCACTATATAATCAATGGAAGGACAAGGAGACCGGTTAGCAGTATGCATGCATGTGAGTGTGTGTATCTGCGTGTGCATGCAAGCATGTGTGGGCACATGCATGGTGCCTCACCCAGCCTGGAGGTCTGGAAGGTTCCCCAGAGGAGGCTGTGTCTCCACTGAGACAAAACATGGTAAGGTAGCCAGGTGGACCCGGGGAGGCGAAGAGCACTCTACCTGAAGGAGGCACTTTGTAGGGCAGATGCCCAGAGACTGGAGGGCGGCTGGCTGCAGGGTGCCCGGCGCGGCTGCCGCCTGGGCTGCGCTGTGAGGGAGATGGGTCGGGAGTCCCTTCCTCCGTGGAACTCTGGAGACAGCCCCTTAGCACCTGCTCCTTGTACAGTTCTGAAGGTGTGTCAGCCCAAGAAAGGGGACCCATCCTGTCTGTCTCTGGGGCTCCCCTTCTGTCCTCTGCCTCCTCCATGTACGGGGGCGCCCTAGGGAACCTGCATTGGTTTGGTGGCTGTGAAGGCACCCTGACCATCCTGTCCCCACCCCCGCCAGGTGATGAAAGCCATCAACGACGGCTTCCGGCTGCCCACGCCCATGGACTGCCCCTCGGCCATCTACCAGCTCATGATGCAGTGCTGGCAGCAGGAGCGGGCCCGCCGCCCCAAGTTCGCCGACATCGTCAGCATCCTGGACAAGCTCATCCGAGCTCCCGACTCCCTCAAGGCCCTGGCTGACTTTGACCCCCGGTGAGTCCCGTGCCCTCCACCCGCGGCGGCCCCCACTTTTACTCCTGAGCCACTTGGGTGGAGTGGCCCGCCAGGGAGAGTGGGCGAGGGGCTCAGAAGTTATGCACGGGCTTTACTTAGACTGTACAGGACTGGCCCGGGTAACACTAATAAAAGCCATCATCAGCACATACGGTGAGTGTGCCGGGCACTGCGCTCAGCCTTTACATGTTGTAACTCACTTAAACAACCTACAGGTGGGTCCTGTAATCATCCGCCTTTTGCAGATAAAGAACTGAGATGGGGCAATTAAGTATATTACATGCTGGCAAGGGGCCAGGCCGGGACTGGGACTCTAGGACCCTGACTTTCTGTTGATGTAGTGGTGGTGGTCTTGTCAGAAGGGGTAGTGGGGGCAGCAGGAAGCTGTAAGCACTGAGTGCTCCCAGCATGCCAGGCTGTCTCCCTGAACCTCCCTGACTTGGCTTTCCCATTGCCCAGGCGCAGAAACGGAGGCCTGGGGCAGCGGGATGAATTGCCCGGGTTAGGGAGCTGCAGGCTCAGGGCCTTGGGGTGCTGGGTGCTACAGCCCCTGACCTGAGGGTGGGCGGTTTGTGTTGCAGGGTGTCCATCCGGCTGCCCAGCACCAGCGGCTCGGAGGGAGTGCCCTTCCGCACGGTGCCTGAGTGGCTCGAGTCCATCAAGATGCAGCAGTACACAGAGCACTTCCTGGCGGCCGGCTACACCGCCATCGAGAAGGTGGTGCAGATGACCAACGAGTGAGTTGGGCTCTGCCCATGCCACCTCCCACCCAGCCTCCTGCCCCCAGTTCCACAACCCACTTGCTCTTCTCTCCATCCTCCTCTCTTTTCTTTCTCTCCTCTTTTGGGGAGAAAAGCTTCGAAGGACGGGCAGACCAGGCTGGCAACTGGCAGTTCTGCTTGGCTCCCTCTTCTTCTGGCATCTTTGTTCCAGAGTGGGAAAGTAATAGCAATTGTCATCCCAACAGTAGCATTTGTCGAGGGCAGGCTACGCGCTGGCTCTGTGCGTGAGCCCTGTCCTCGTGCTGACTCAGCGGGTGGTCCCATCTGCGTTCTCGGGGGGCAGGGGAGGAGCAGGTGCAGGGCAGGGCGGTGGCCTGTCCAGGGTCTTGCAGCCACTAAGCGCAAGGAGGATTCAGCCCAGGTCAGCCAGGGGCCAGGGCTCAGGAACCGCAGAGGTCCTTAGTGGGGAAACCGAGGCTCAGAGATTACATGGCCTTCTTCAGGCCGCACAGTTCACAGCCCGAAATCTGGGAAAAGGATGACCTCCCTTCACAGCCACTGCAGACTGAGCCCCTGTTGGCCTTTGGAATAGATGCTGCTATCACTTCCCCATTTCATGAGTGGGGAATCTGAGGCTCAGAGGGTACATAGCTTGCCTGAGGTCACACAGCCAGTTCAGGGCAGCGTTCCTCTCCAGGATGCTGAGGAGAAATGGCCAGACCCGTGGGGCTCCCTGGCCGCACCCAGGAGAAAGGGCCCAGGCTAACCCCTGCCAGGTACCCTCTCCGCGTGGCTGACTGTCAGCCTGGGGCCCAGCCTGACAGGAAGGGCCAGCCACTCTTCGTCCGGCCCTGGCTCTGTCCTTCGTCAGGCTGTGCTACGGGAGCTCATCTCTCCCTCCAGCTCCAGGATCAGGGACCTTTCCTGGCAGGGCCTTGGCAGGGACATCTCTTCCCACCCCAGGAGGGAGAAGACATTGTCCTCTTAGCCTTCTGTGCTTCTAAAAATAGCGTCATGTCCCCCCTCTCCCTCCCCCCCACCCCCGCCCATAGCCTCACTACAGCGTCCGAGGTTATGGCAGGAACGGGCCCTGGGGCTGGGAGGCTTTGGGAACCACACGCAGGGGGCGACCCCAGCCTCCCACAGTTCTGGGTCACAGCAGGTCTGGGATCTGGGCCTGCGCATGGACATTCTCCAGAGCCTCTGATGACCGCTCAGCTGGGCTTCTAAACTGCTCATCGAGGCCTCCCAGACCAGGCCATGGCCCACCCTAGGGGACGGCTGGGGACGGGGGTCAGGCGAGGACAGAGCTGGCCGGAGGGAGATGCAGGGATGCGGAGAGAGGAGACAGGCTCCAGGGTGTCTTTGGTTGCCAGCCAGCTACAGGGTCCCAAGCTTGCTGGGTTCAAGCCCCACACTTGCCACTTCCTAGCAGGTGACCTTGGTCAAATCCAGTTCCCTCTTTGAGCCTTGGCTCTCGTTTCCCCATTGTGGGGATTGCATGGGTACAATACAGACGGCACACCCTGTATGCAGTGGGGGCTCAACCCTCCATTTCCTGGCTTCCTGCCCGCAGCCCACAGGCAAATGCCTGGTTCCTCCTTTTCCCTGGGAACGTGGAATAGCCCCCCTTTACCGCTCCGGGGGCTCCCACCAAGGACAGCGTGGCCTCTCTTCTGGGTGATCAGAGCAGAGGGTAGGAGACGTGCTTTCAGGAAGCACATGTTCTAAGGCTTCCCAGAATAGCCCGGGGTGCTCCTCGGCCAATTCCTTTCCCACGAGCAGGGACAGGGCTATCTTGGATGGATGGAGTCTGTGTGTGTGTGTGTGTGTGCGTGTTGTGTTTTGAAAAGGCCTAGATAAAGGCAGGAAGTCATTCCACGCTCCCTCCTCCTCCCATCGACCCACTGGTGCTCAGAGCTGGGGTCTGCGTGACTCATACCATCATTGCTTCCTCCTTTATTGGAAATAAATGAGATAAATGGGGATCTCAAAGCACTTTTTCAACAGTGCTTTGACCGTCCAGGCCGTGGGTCCCAGTGGGAGCTCTGAGTCGGTCTCAGAAGAATTCAGCTTTCTCCATGCGTCCAGATTTAGGCCTCAAGGTCCTTCCCCGCGCTGTGGCCTCCCTGCTTCCCAGACCCGTCCCAGGGGCGGACTGCACAGTCCCCTGGGGTCCTGCAGTGGCCATCTTTTCTCAGCTTCAGCATTCACCACGTTATTATTTTGGAGTCACAGAGATTGTAGCCAGACTAGTGGTTCTAAGTGTTTTGTTTTTAAGATTTTATTTTTTAGAAGGGAAAGGAGGGAGAAAACGAGGGAGAGTAAACATCTATGTGCAAGAGAGACATCCATCAGCTGCCTCTCACGCGCCCTCCCACTGGGGACCTGGCCCACATCCCAGGCATGTGCCCTGACTGGGAATCAAACCAGCGACCTTTCGGTTTGCAGGCCACCACTCCACCCACTGAGCCATACCAGTCAGGGCCTTAACGGTTTTGAGGAGCTAGTGAAAGCGGTGGTTTTGTACCCCAGAAAAATGTTCAGCCTCACAAAAGGCCCCATCCCGTCTGTATCTGAGGCCGCTGCCTACAGGGCCCTGTGAGAGGGAGGGGAACACAGGCTGATGGCCCCCGGCTCCGCGCGCCCGCAGCGCAGGCTTGGCGCTGATGCGTTTGCTGAGAGATTGGCTGATCGGACATGCGAGACCCTCTCTCACTCCCCTCTCCTCGTGTCCAGGGGACACCTAGTGGGTGCTCCCTAGGGAGGTGTGGCCTTTGAACTTCCTGAGGCCTAGGCTGGCATTGCGAGTGTCCCTGAAAATGGTGGCCTCAGCCACACGTCTCCTCGCCCCATGATGGGGGCTGATGGGAGCGACGGCCCTGGATCCCGATGGGGAAACGGAAGCCGTGTGTCTCTGTGGCAAGGAAAGGAGGCTGGGGAGTCTTGGGGGGCTTTGTGCTAGAAGAGAATGGGGCTCAGGCAGGAGGCTCAGCAGCATCTAATCAAAGCCCTTCATTTTACCTGTAAAGAAACCGAGGCCCAAAGGCAGGACAGGGCTGCGCAAGGCTTTGTCGGAGTCCAGGACTGGAATCTGGCCTCCTGCCTCCCAGGTCAGGGCTTTTGCCTCCTAGACAGGCCTCGGGCCTCGGAAGCAACCTCAGCACCCACTCTGTCACGTGGACCACACCGGCCTGGGAGGTGGCCGGAGGCGGCCCGGGCTGTGGCTCGGTATCCACCAAAGAACTCATTCTTTCATTCAGTCAGCAGGCACTCCTTGAAGACCTGCCGTGTACCAGGCCTTTCCTAGACCGCGGGAGGGTGTGGGGCTGAGGGACGGCCTCAGCCATTATCCTCCGGTAGCTCACATAACCCACAGATTCTTAAATCAGGCACCAGGGTCTTTGGGAGCCATACGGTGCAGTCCCTGCCCTACCTTCTGGGCTTCAAGGCCAGGGAATCTGCAGGTGGGCTCAGGATCCTGCCTCTGTCCCCAATGCTGCAGATGATTCTCAGCGAGCCCCATGGTGAGACCCCCAGGGATGAGGAAAACAGCTCTTTTGTAACATCCCCCAACTGCTTAGGTTAGAAATGGTGCTGCATCATGGACAAAACCGAAGGGGAAGAGCTGAGGGAGGGAAGGTGGGAGGGGGCAAGGGAAAGAGGTGGGGGGAAGGCAGAGACAAATATATTTAAAAAGTAAATAAATTAATTAAAAAAAAAGAAAAAAGAAAAAAAAAAAGAAATGGTGCTGCAGCGAAGGTTAGGAAGTCCTCCCAGATGTCCAACTCCGGGCCTTCCTGCTGCAGTGGGAGCCTCAGCCCCTCCTGGAGGCCCCCCTCCCCACCCACCTAAGTCTGCCCTCCCTGCTCAGCACCCCTCTGAGGGCTCCCAGCACCGGTGGGAAAGTCATGTCTCCAGAATTGCAAATAGGAGCTTGCACCATATAATTAGCTCCGTTTACAGCCAGGAGACGGCCCATAAAAACCTGGGTGTTTTCGTGGGTTTGGGCTGGTGGGTGAGGACTGCTGAGGAGAAAACTCCCAGAGAGAGCAATAACCATCCCGCTCCAGGGCTCTGGGAGCATAAGTGGTTTTACGAGGGGATGGGGAAGCACGGGGGGCGGGGCGGCGCTGTGGGCCCTGGGCACACCTTTCTACCTGGCGCCCGAGCCGCCTTCCCCCTCTGCCACCGGTGTCCAGTTCTCCCCCCTCTGCACTTGAGCACTGTTATCCCATTTTCCAGGAGAGGAATTTGAGTCCTGAAAGGAACCCACCTGCCTCAGGTGACCTGCAAGCCCCTCTTATAAGGGACCAGCAGGGCTTTGACTTTGGTGGCCCCTCAGCAAGTATTTCCTGAATCCTTGGTCAGTTAGCAGCTGTGGGAACTTGGAAGGAGTGGGGGTGGAATAAGGGGAGAGACCTCTGAGCAGCAGCCTTAGAGGGTCCCTGCCCCTGTTGATGGCCTCCGCACTGCCTGGTAGGAGGCCTTAGCTGGGGGCAGCAGGGACAGACTCGAGATGGGAGAGGGAATGCAGTGTCCACAGTGGGTTTGATTCCCAGTTCTTCACCCTCCTAGCTGTGCAACTTTGGGCAAGTCACTTTACCTCTCTGAGCCTCAGTTTTCCAATCAACACAGTGAGTGTGGGAGGGGGCTCTAAGGGGACTAAATGGTAATGGGAAAAAAATACATTAAAACTATTTTTAAAAAATGAGCCTGAGAAGAGCACCTGCTTCACAGATAATCCTGCAGATTTGATGTAAAGAAAAAAGCTGCTCACAGGGTTAGCGCTTGTATCATTTTTAAATTTTGTCCAAGGGAGCCAGCTTTCATGATGCAGTCGGGCCTCTGCCTGAAGGGAACTCAATCGCCCCCAGGTCCCCTAGGCCCCCCTCTCGTCTCTCACCTCGGCCGCCCTCCTGCAGCCGCCCAGCTCTCCACGCCAGCCCCTGACGCTCCCTCTCTCCCTCCCGCCCACAGTGACATCAAGAAGATTGGTGTGCGGCTGCCCGGCCACCAGAAGCGGATCGCCTACAGCCTGCTGGGACTCAAGGACCAAGTGAACACAGTGGGGATCCCCATCTGAGCTCCGACAGGGTCTTGCGCCCCTTGGCCAAGAATACTTGAAGCAACGGTGGCCTCCCTACCAGCCCTGCACCTGGCCACTAGGGACCTTATTTATTTCTAGTTGTTTCTTACTGGTGCCACCCTGAGGCCTCGGCTGGGGGCGTCTCGGACGACACCCTTGGCCTGAACTGAGGAGATGCTCAGGGATCCCGGGCCGGGGGCCTCTTCGCCCACAAAGGACAACCAGCCAAGCACTTAGATGGCGCCACTTGAACCCAGCATCCCAGGGCAGGCAGGAGCCCCGCCGAAGCCTTCGCACGTACATGTGGGACATTTCCAAACCTGCCTCCCTGTTGCTGTCTCAGGAGGTGGCCACGGGCACAGGGTACTTCAAGCCCCGCCCTCTCACGAGGAGAGGACAGACAGCGAACTCAGCTGGGTGAGACCCAAAGTAGTTCCCTCACCCTCTAGTGCCTTCCGCCAGGCCCTGGCCTCAGCCCCCGTGGGCCTGACTCTTGCTTCCCCAGGGCCCTCACAGGATGCTTGGTTGTGTTGAGGTTTTTTAAATGTATATTTTGTACTTTGTGGAGAGAATGTGTGTGTGACAGGGGGCCTGGCTAGGGCTTGGGACAGAGGACAGCCTGTGCCAGACATTCCTGGGCTGGGGGCTGGTCCGTCCACCTCTTGCCGCGTAAGACAACGTCATTACTCCATCAGTGTTAATGATTTTGTTTTATTGGTTATTTTTTCGAACCTTAATTTATTACTTTTTTTATATTTATTGTTAGGAAATGACATTTCTGCTCTGGAATAAAGTTGCAGATAGATCAAACTGATCTTGGCTCTGAGTTTTGGAGGGGCAGCGGGGTACAGAGGCCATCTGTGTTGAAAGCGGGGGGTAGGTAAAGGGGCTCACCCCCACCCCGCACATTTAAACAGCTTCTTTCGCAAGGCACACGTGTCATGGAGCCCTGGTAGTGGGGCTGGGTGGGAGGTGGGCAGCGAGCCAGGGAGCAGGCCCGGCCAAGCCCAGCCTCCATGCCAGCAGGCCTCCGTCACCTTTGATCTGAAGGCCGTGGAGGGCTGGGAGGCGGGAGCGCGGTGAGAGCCACCACCAGCCTCCCTCCTACGTGTCTCCACGGAGCTGTTGAAATATATTCTTCGATTGCCCATGCTGGGCTTTGAGGCTGACAAAAGATTTTCGCAAGTTTTGGCTTGTTGGAGCCTCAGCACTCCGAGTTTTGTGGGTGGCCCCATGTTACAGACAAGGACAACTGAGGCCGGGTCCCCCGACGGGACTGGCCCACCACGGCCTCACAGCAAGTTGGAGGCGGGGCCCGAAATTGAAAGCAGGGCTGGAAATCCCAGTGAGATGCATTTCTCACAGAGGACACGAAGGCTCAGAGATGTGCGCTGACTTGCTATGTTTTTTAATTAAAAAAATTTTTAATGGAATTTATTGGGGTGACTTGCTTTAAGTCACACAGCAGGAAGGAGCAGAGGCCTTGAGGGAAGCCAGAATTCTGATTTCACAGCCTGAGCCTTCTCTACCATACCAGGCTGCTTCCCTGAATGCCAGAGGTTGCTCGCATCTTAGGAAGATGTGGCACACAGGTGACGCCGGACATGCCCAGGTGAGCCAAGGTGATCGGGGGCACAGAAGGAAGGCTTCCTGGAGGAGGGGAGCCCAGAGCTGGGGCCTCAGGGACTCGGGATCAACCAGCTACGTAGCAGAAGAGGGTGGTGCAGCAGAGTAGTTGTGGAGGCATGAAACCATGGGGTTGTGCAAGGGAAGCCACGGGCGACGTGGTAGTATCAGGGTGGGACGTGGGTGCTGAAGAGATGCCCAGAGGCTTGTAAGGCCTATCTAGGAGCAGAGCTTTTTTTTTTAATCCTCGCCCAAGGATATGTTTATTGATTTTAGAGAGAGAGGAAGGGAGAGAGGAAGAAATAGAAATATCTGTCACCAATCATATGCATTCTGACCAGGGGTCAAACTCAAAACCCAGGTATGTGCCCTGATCCGGAATCGAACCTGCAACATTTTTGGTGTACAGAACAATGCTCCAACCAACTGAGCCCCCTGGCCAGGGTTAGGGACAGGGCATTTAAGCTGAGGGCAATGAGGAGCCACTGAAGATCTGAAGCAGGGTGAGGTGCGATTCCTGTGCCCCAGACAAAAGTCACTGGTAGAGTCAGGCTTGAGTTACAGGCCTCCTGACTCCCGGCCTGTGGGCAGAGAAGAAAGGTTCTGGCAAAGGTGAGGGCCCTCCCTCAGCCTGCCTCTGTGTCTCAGGGCCGGCCCGAGACTCTGCCCTGACCCCCTGCCGCGGCAGGAGAGCTGCTTCCATGGGGAGCCAGCTCCTGGGCCCGGCCCGCAGAGCACCAGTGGGCGCCAGGCAGGGCTGGGGTTGGGGAAGGGAAGGGAGCACAGGGACCAGCTCAGCAGGCCTTCTGTTAGCACTGGGCCACCTGGGCGTGCGGGGCATGTGGCTGAGTCAGGCCGTCCTGGGACCTAGCTTTTGCCCCGTCAGGCCTGCATGAGACCTTGGCTGTGTTACTGGGCTCTGGCTCCTGCCACCGCCACTGCAGGGAGCAAGCCTGCGTTCCCCCAGCAGTCTGGGCTGCAAGGTCACCTGAGGCCAGGCTTGAGTCCCCTTGCTAAAGCAACTCGACCACCCAGGGGCCCCACTGGCAAGCAGGAGTGGACACAGGAAGTGGCTCAGCATGGGGAAGGTGACCTCGTGCACCTCCTCCCTCAGCATCCTGATAGAAGCCCTCCTAGGACACATGAGGTCACAAGAGGTCACACAGGCCTGGGCTGCAGACTGGGGTCTGTTCAAAGGCAGTTGGGCAGCTGTCTGGAGCTTCCAACAGGTCCCACAATTGACCAAAGGGAAAACTTAAACCCGGCTCTGTCCCCTAGAGGGCTGAGAGGCTGTGACACCCTGGTAGGAATAAGCACATCCAGGCCCCAGATCTTGGTTCCTAAGTGCCACTCTCTAATGAAAGGAACCAGGGCTCCTTAGAGAAATGACTGGTTCCAGGTCTGAAGCATGGAAAACACAAAATGAGTCTGGAGCACCTATCTCGTAGTTCTAGAGAGAAAGGAAATGCTTGCAAAATAAACAGGTGGGGGCGCGGTGTGAGACACGGGGGCCCACCCGACGGAGGCCCCAAATGACCAAACCTAGACCAGACTGACCAACAAATAACAGAATCAGATTATAACCCAAAGCAGAAACTACATATCCATGTGTCCATACTGATGTAAACAATAATTGAAGAAATAAATAAATGGGGAAACTGGATAAATCTTCTTTAGAAAACAATTCCAAATAATCCACATAGGTTCCCCCCTCCAGCAGGTGGAGCTTAATTTCCCACGGCTTTGAGTGTGGACTGGCCTCGTGATACCCTTATAAAGAAACAAAGTGTAGAAAGGGTTAAAATTTTTTTTTCACGTTGGAGAAACCTGGCAACACCACCATGGTAACCAAGTTGATATGAAAAAACAAACAAACCAACCCAGAGCAGCAGGAATATGTTGCTTGAATTTAAGATCAGGTATCATCAAACACTTAGAAAAGATATACTGGGTGCCACCCACCGCTCTGAGCGCTTTGCCGGTGTTTACTTACTTAATCTTTTCAACACCCCTTCGGGGCGGGCGCCCGCATTACCACTTTACAGATTGGAACACTGAGGCACCTGGAGGTTAAGTAACTCGCCAGAGCCCAGAGCCGCAGGCTCCTGCACAGCAGGGGCGGGAGCCCAGCCCAGACGCTCCTGGGCTCCTGGTCGCGTGCTGCAGAGCCCTGATGAAAATGGTTTCCACCTGCCGCTCTCAGCTGCCACGTGCGGACATTCTCTGTCATGGCCACCTCTGTGGATATGGGCTAAGAAGCCACTGGTTTGGGAAAAACTAAGGCCAGGTAGCCTTCCGCCCCAGGTCTCTTAGTGCCCCAGTGCCCCGCGACCCAGGCACGCAGATTGGGGAGGGGGCAGAGAGGACAGAGGCAGGTTTCCTGCTTGACGCTGTCCCTCAGTGGATGTCTCCTGCTCTGTGCCAGGTGGGGCCCTGGGGCCGCAGAGTAAGGAAGGCCCTCACAGCCCCCAAGGGGCCCTCAGGCAGGTAGGAGGGGCCGCGGCAACACAGGGAGACTCAGGTGAGGAGTGGGAGGGGCTGGGTGTTACAGGACCCAGCGGAGGGGACCTGATTCAGCCTGGAAGTTCAGGCAGGCTTCCTGTAGGAAGAGGAGCCCTCCACGCTGAGGCTGATGTCCAGGAGGCGTCCACCAGGCAAAGGGGAAATACATGTCCCCAGAAGAGACTGTCCCTGCCCTCCATAAGCCAGACCTCTGTGGATAGGTCTGAGTCCCTTGACTTGACGAGGACAAGACCTGCTGCGGCTCCCAAGCCACCCTAGTCCCTGGCCGTCGTGTCGTGAGCAGCCCTGCGACACCAGCCCTGCCCTTGTCCCCACCCCACGCAGAACCCTCATCTCCGACCTCAGCCGTCTCGGCTGGGGAGTGGGCCGTTCCTGGGCTCTGCGCTGCGGGGGCTTGGCAACCCTCTGATGCACCAACGAAGCCCCAAAGGAGGCAAAAGCAGCAAGTAGGAGGGTGTCTGGTTGGGAGTTGTCCCCTTTCTCCGGGGCTCCCAGTCCGGGGGGCAAATTAAAACAGCGTCACCAGGCACCAGCCTTGGATTTTCTATTGAATTAGCAAATCCTAGAAGAATGGGCAAGCTCTCTGCCCCTGCCCCATTTCCAGCGGCGGCCCAAGGGGCTGGATAGGGCCTGGCAGGTGGCCGATGCTGCGAGAGCAGAGGTTGAATGAACGGGTGCTGCATCTCCCCATCGCCCTCGCCCAGAACGGTGTCTGACACCCAGTACGCCCTCAGTAACCAAATGAATGAAGGGAAGGGGAGCCACACTTTTAGGACCCGAGGGACCAGTGGGGGCATAAGAGGCCAGGTTGTTCGCTATCCCTGGATGCCGGTGGCGTGGGGTGCCGCCTACACAGACTCCCGGCTCCCGCTGGCTGGCCAGAACTGCACAGGAAGTAAGGGAGAAGGGATCCAGTGTTTCTGAACACCTACTTGAACACCTACTATGTGATAGTCAGTGTGCCAAGCCTGACACCCACATTGTCATATTGAAGGATCACAGTGACCCTGCAAAACATGGAGTTTTCTTCATTTTGCAGATGGGGACACTGAGGCTCAGTGTGGTTATGGTATCGGACCAAGATCCCACAGCTAGGAGGTGACATCTGGAGGTCCTGGAGGTCCTTAGGAAGCAGAACACCAGGAAGACCCTCGGGCGGGAAGAGGGAGACGGGCTTTGGCGGGCATCCCCTGCTGACTTTGCTGTGGGACCCTCTGTGCCCCCTGGGCCTCCATTTAACCCTTAGTGACGTGGGGGGCTTGACGAAGTCCATCCTGGCTGGCATGCTGGCTCCCGCCCTCCCTGGGTTTGCCTGCTCCCTTCTCCTGACACCCTCTGCGCCGCAGCCCCAGGCAGCAGGCCCCGCTCCAGCCCCTCGGGATCTGGCTTTCCCCATCCGAACCTTGTCAGCCGTTCTCTCTGTCGGCGGAACCAGGCTGGGTTTCTGGGAAGCTGCGGCCATACCCCGCCCTGCCAGGGGCGGGGGCCCCTCTCTCCCCCTGGGCCTGGGCCCCATTTCAGCAGCCTCATCACATTCCCCAGCAGCCTTGGCAGCCTGGACAGACGGATGCACTTTCCACATTGGTCTGGCAGAACCAGGAAACTTATGACC